GCCAGAGGTTCCCTGGGGTGAAAGATGCTGCTGGTTCTTTGTGCTCAGGCCTGTTCACTCAGTGACATCATTGTCCGCTCCTGGTGTTTACCCACCGGTTTGTGTATGAGGGTTGATCTTAATCGAACATGTGTGTGTGTTTGAGAATATGTAGTCACTTAATTTTTATGTATTCTTATTTCATTTTTCTGCAAGCTGTGCAATTGAATTATCAGTAAAATATTGAAAGAGCTGCACCATAGGATGCTATACAAAGTTAACATTCGCCTACATTGCCGTGTAATGAATTTTCTAGTTATGATCAACAAAAATTCTAATAAAATAGTACTGTTCATAATTACTGCCTTATGACTACATCAATATAAGTAGGGAGGAGCTTAGTCATCAAAAATGACAGATAAGTGCTAAGTTTTGTAATTTATTGATTGTCTAGGTAACTGGTAGGTTGTCAGTGGAAATTACAACACCACCAGGGTTAGAACCATTTTACCTATTTAAAAATACATAGATATCTTTTACAGTAAATAATAATGTTCTTTAACATTTGAAAAAAATGAGATGTTGAAGTGTACAAGAAACCACAATGGAGTACTGGCATAACTTCTACAGTTTACAAATGTCTAGAGTAATATTTTTATGTTTAAAAAAAAAAAAAAATCAGCTGACCTACTGAATTCTCAATATATTTATAAATATTGAACTGGTAAAGAAAAAACTAATGAGGCAAACCATGTTGTTGTTTTCATGATTTGTTTGTGGGGGATTTCTTAATGTGTCCTGAAGTTCTTTTCCATCAGAAGAGGTTTGCAGTCTGTTCTAATTAAAGAATTTTCCATACTGGAAATGAGAAGTCAATTACTACAATTATTTTTGCATAGTTAATTTACGTAACCTTAATTGTATTTATTCCCTTTGAAAGGCTGAACCTGATATTTATAATGCATTGATTGATTAGCAGTGTAGTTATAATTCTGGAATTGCTACCGACAAGATGTTCCTGCAACTGCAGTCCCTAGCAGTTCTCTCCGGAATAAACATTTCCGAAGACAAGTGGCTGTTTGTCATTGGCGAGGGAAGGCATTGCATGTTTGCTACCTCCACATGCAGTGCTGTGGAAGTATCTTCTTTCCACACTCTCGAAAAAATGAGAGTTTAACTCTACATCATGCTACTTAATTAGTGGTGTGTTCCATACTGTAAAGAAGTACATTTTCCTTGTTTTTTCAATCTGTCAAAATAGTGCCTAAATGTAGACTAGGGAAATGCAGGCTTTTCACTGAAGTCACTTGAGGAATGACAGCCATGAGAAGCTTCCCTGCTTGCAGATGCCCGTGGGGCTGGTGTGGTTCAGCTGTGAGAGGGCTGCTGGCGGCCATTTGCCCGGCGGCATCACAGGTGTTTGCCTGCTGGTGGCTCGCCCGGTGCCCGGCTCGTTCCAGCTCCCAGTGTGGCCGTGGAGCACTGGCATGGGTGCGGTGGGAGCTGGGAAGGGGGTCAGCAGCGGTGGTGTCTGTTACTCTTGGCTCTGCTGTGGGAGTTGGGAGGAGAGGAGCCGACGTGACTGTCTCCATCTGCGGAGCACTCTCCATTGGTGAATGAAGGCAGAATTGATACAATCTTCAAGCCATTTGCAATCCTTCCATATAATTAAGCAGGTAAAGACCTGGGGGGGTTTAGCTGCTTTCAGGCACTGTGGTTTCTGTACATCATTTTACCTGAACCGAGCGCATTTCCGACCGGCTGTCGAGGCAGTTGTTAGACTTGTAACCGGTTGGTTCTTGGGAATAGTCATCCAAAGCTGCGGCAGGTGCTTTGGGGATCCTTGGTGAGCAATGGCACAACAAAGTTCTTGTTACAATCAAACCTTTATTTTAACCTGCACCCTCTGCAGAGGGGTCCCCTTACAAAACTGGCAGCCAACCCCCTCTGCAGCTCGGGCCGCTCCCTGATGTCCTGGAGCCTCTGCAGGTCACCCTGTCGTTCGAACGCCGCAGCCCTCGCTTGAGCTGAAGGCAGCATACAGAGCTCCCTCAGCCCGCGCTCAGGTGTCCCAGTTCTGCCCGACCGGCCCGGGCCCCTCCTGTAAAGGAGTGGTGGGTGGGTATGTGACCAGCGGGCCGTGGGCCATGGCCACCCACCCCGGGAGATGGCGTGCGGCGGTAGGAGGAGGCCGGTGAAATGGCGGTGGCGTAGCCGCACTGCGGTTTGCCTTCCTGGGCTGGGCAGTAAGTACCAGATCGTGCAGGTATCGGAAGCCTGGCCCTGACCTTATTCCTCTGTTTTTGTGTTACTGTTTCTGCTGAAGTTTCAGCTGAACTTCAGGGGAACGAGGGAGATGTATGGTGCGTAGAAACCGAAGTATGGCCTTAATACCATAACATCTGTGAGCCAACAAGAGTGGCAGTGCCGGGTCGGACTGCTGCTCTGCTCACTGCTGGCAACCAGGTGGAAATCGCTGAAGAAAGCATGTAGAACTAGGGCAATTATAACATCAGCATCTCCTGGTTTATGTTAATGGTTTTTACTACTACTACATGTTTTGGGGGCATTTGAGCCTGACGTAGTGCTTGCAAGTTTCCATTAGACAGTTCTTGCTGGTCTTTTGCATCAGTGTGTCTGATTTTTTTGAGCTAATCCTTACTTTTGGTCTCTGCAGTGTCCTGGGGCAGTAAGCAGAGAGTGACACAGCAATGTAATACAGCATTTAATATGCTAGGGTGTGAAACCATGGGGAAGCTCAACTTGGTCCAGCTAAGGGATTTACTTGTTTATTCCCGTCAAATCACAGCTGATTTACTCCATTCTACATTGCAAATGCTCAAGTGAATTTCATATTCCCCTATTATCTGAAGTGCTTTCAGTGCCAGGGTCCTACATGATACAAATTTCCTCTTCATTAGTAACAGCCTCTTTCTTAGAAACTAAGTTTCCACAGCAAAAGTGAGATTGAGAAAGCAAACGTTTTGGTGGACAACAGTTGCAGAACTTCTTGAATCATGATGGGCTTCCATAATAGCATGCACAGGAATAGTCAGTTCAGAAACAAAGACATGGTAGTTTGTTTGGTATTGGAGAAAATGGCTGTGGTCTGTTGCTGTCTGGCTCCAAGGCAGCCTTTTTGGCCGTATGTAGTTGTGGGGCAGGGCAGTGGCCTGGTGATGAATGCAGTGTGAACCCCTGGGTAGTTTCCCTCCAATGCAGGACGAAGGTACAAAGAGAGTTGTTTTTGTTGCTGGAATTAATCTTTCCTATATGCTTTGGACAAGTGAAAAACAAATAGTATGTTGTAAGAGCTATTTGTGTGGCCATGGAAATGAAATCGGCTCCGTGTGGAAAAGGAGAGCAAGTTGTCTATGTAATTATGTAAGGGGTTCTGTGTCTGTGAAATATGCATTGGTAAATATGAGCTGACACATTTTGAACAAACAAATTATAAATGAGTGGAAGACCTGAAAATGTCAGTTTCTTCCTCAGGAGCGCTTCAGGATTTTTCTGTTCACTTTTCTTTTCCCTCTTATACATTCATTTCTTCCCTTAGGCAAATGAGCTTCTTTAAATGTTTATCTCTTTGTTTCAGTATACTACTTATTATAGGAAATAATTTTTGACATATCTTGAAAGTGTCAGAGGAGATTTGATGTACTAATATTTTTATATAGAGAGTTTGTGTGCGTGTACCTTAAAATAGCACAGAGAGAAATAGTAAATCAATCCTTTAAACTGGTTGCTGTGTATATCTTGACATTGCCTAACCAGTTGTGTGTGTTATGGTCTTTTTCGGGATTAGCTAAGAAAAACTTTAGGATAATCCTAAGGAGTTATGAAAAAATGAAATAAATTAATACCTTAAGATGAAAGTATCTTGTACAACGCTTATTAGGCAAAGTGTTTGTCATTGTATGGCATGCAAACTATGCCATGTCAGGTAGCAGGGCAGGAAAAGAGCTTGCACTGCTGCTGTTACCCCCTCCCCTCTTGGAGAGAGCTTTGGGGTGTCAAGTGCCCCTTTGGTTGAGAACAGGAAGTCTTTTAATGTGTTTTGATTCATTGGGAATTAATAATTCCCCCCCTCTGACCTGTAACACGATTAACTGTTTTCCTGGAACTGAACGCAATTTGCAGCCACCCACACCCGTCGAGTCGCGCGTTGATGAAGCTGCCTGCACGTTATCTGATGACTTGGTATTAGTAGGGACCAAGAGGAAGATCCCTGTGAAAGGCCAGGTTAGCTGAGGCAAAAAATGATTTTTCTGGTGGTGTTTTATCATTTTCATTTCAACATGAATGTGAGTTTGGACAGGAGACTTTGCAGTCTGTCGTTGCTTCGTCTTGACCCTTCCTGTGCATCTGAAGTTGTGGAAGAGTCAGTGGCTGAGGGGCAGTTCTCAGAAGCAACGTGTCGGGTGTAAGCTTGGCAGGGAGAATCAGAGGAGATGATAGAGGCGCGTGTGGGTACATGTACCTTAGAGGCATAGGTTGGGCCATTAAGGAAACTCCATATTCTGTCCTTGTGCCTGCTGAATGTATCTTGTCCTTGGAATGTAACTGTTATGTACTTACAAAGAAAAAATGTGTCTGCTCGCTCAGTGCAGCTTCCATGGTTGTGTTACCTTTGTGCAGCGTGCCAGTCAGTAGCACTAAAATATTATGAAATAACACCCTCCACCCCCAAGAATTAAATGCTGTTTGGTGTTTTTAAGCATGTTCAGCCTTAAATGTTTTAGAACCATGTAAAATACTCGCTAAGGGTAGCATGCTAACAAAGAAAAGCATGTCAGCACAGGACAGTGCTGAAGCATATACTTAAGTCCTAAAGAAGTCAGTGTACTTAAACACAAATGTACCTGCTTTCCTGAATCTGTATGCTTATTGTTACCTGTTCTGAAATAAGATCTTCAGTTTTGTACTCCCAATGAAGGATAAATTTTGCTTTAAAAAAAAAAAGGTGATGTTTGGGAATTCTTTAAACATACAAACTGTATTATCTTTTGTTTTGATAGCTGATTGCTGTTTATGATGAGCAAGAAACTCACCATAAGACTGATGGCACCAATGGCAATTTGACAGACAGGAATAGCCCAGACTCTTTTGAGACGGAGGTAGCGGCTCAGCTGGCTGCCTTTCAGCCGATCGGTGGTGAGATTGAAGTGACTCCTTCTGCCCTGAAACTGGGTATGTATATCTTGCATAGCTATTTTGCATGGTTATATTTTTTAATTTCTCAGCCAACATGTAGTACTTTTGTATTTCTGTTTCCTTCTGAGAGGATGTCTGTGGTCTGATTTTATGTATTTAAAGAATTCTTTTAGCACCCCGTTGTTTTCCTTGCGATTCAGTGAAGACAATTGTAATGACAAAAATCGGTCTTTTAAGCAATTGATGCTGAAGACTGCAACTAAGCATGGCAAATTTGCACCTGAGTCTTGTATCCTGCTGTATGTTATGCCCATCCATACAGCTGGGATGTCTTTTTTTTTTTTTTCCTTCTTTGCTTGACTGGGTAGCTTGCTGGCAATCCTTAATTGTAATCTTTTGAGAGCAGAAGAGATTAAACCTATGCAAAGTATTTTTAAATAAAGAAGTTCTTGAAAAAAACCTCAGCATTTTTGTTGAGGAACATGGGTTAAATGAGTGTAAATACTGTCGTGTGTAAATACTTTTACTGATTGAGCTAGTACTCTGGTTTGGGAGTGGGAAGTAGGAAGGAGGAGATACTGGTTGCAAACAGTTCAGCTCTGCCTTTGAAGAAGCTGCACAGCAAAGTCTATTTGCCTATCTGACGTTCAAGTGAGCAAACTGTGATTAGGAGAGGCTTCTGCTTAATTTCAACTTCTATCAGTGGGTACTGCGTGAAGTACTGCAACGCTGGTCACCTGTGTTGTTTCGGTGTGCCTGGAAGGCCAAGAGTTCAGGCACTGGTTTCCGATTATAAAGAGCTTGAGTTTTGTGCATTGAACACAAAGCAGTTTGAAATACTTTCTTGGACTGAGAGCAAGCTAAGCTGTCATCTAGGTACCAGATATAGAAGGTTTCAAAAACAGATTGAAGGTGAATCCTCTTACTGTCTGCCCGTAAAGCAGTCGTACACTGACAGCATTTACCAAGTCAGTAATGCTCAGGAGAAGCCCCTCTGCATTCCACCAGAGCTCATCACCTGATTCACCCTGTGTTCTGGAGTACTGCTGGTAGTCTCCTAACGGTGTGCAATAAAATTTCCAAGTGTGAGTGGGGTAAGGATAGTAATACTACCTCTAGTTGTGCTCGTAGTCTGATTACAACTTCAGAAACTGCACGTTCACTTGTCTGTTTATTTTAATTGCATTTTTAAAGGAAAAGGCTGATTAACAAAAACACCAAGCTAAAATAAAATTTCTTATATAGCTCACTGGATGAGGCTGTGTAACTTCTGACAGAAGTCTGTGCTCATTTTTGTGCCTGATGTAAAAAATAGTGAAATTCAAGACAAATTAAAATTTTTAGATTCAAATGTCTGTGTTAATGGACCCTTCTGTTTTCTTCTGTATTCTAGAATATAGAAAAACCTCTTTTCCGTATTTAGTCACACAGAGGAATTTCTCATACCTAAAAATCTTGGAAGAGACTTGTTCTTGCCATGACTTGTATGTATTTGAGCTGTGTTTTTGGTAACCATGAGGTATGGAAAAGTTTATGACTAAAGGTCCAATGGTTGAATGGTTTGCTACTTCATTTATTGCATACTTTTAAAGAACACTATGTAAAAACATTTTGGCGTGTTTCAGAAAGCAGGGATTGTTCTCCATATACTTGAGCCATATGAAAAAAAAAAAAAAAAAAAGTCTTTGGAAGTGGTTTGTCTAGCATACTGTTGTACATTTAGGGTTGGAGAGAAGAGTATTTCAAGCTCTCACAATTTTATGTAAAAAAGTTAAATGCTAGAGCTTTTGAGCTCACCAGTAAGCTACCAAGTAGTTGAGTTTTCATAGTATTGTTTGAATCCTTCTACTGTAAAGTGTAAAGGAGATGAAATATAACATGAGAAAAGTAGCCAATTAGGGTTCTAGTTCGTTTTCAGTGTAATACTAATATATACTTTAAGTTTAAATGGATGTTTGCTTCTTAAAATAGAGAACATAATGTGTTTGTCTCAATGGTTCTCTTTCAGATTGTTTATTTTAGAAGGTAGATGAAAGGTTTTCTACCTGTCAGCCCCATAAACTCAGTCTGCACTCTGAAATGTAATTGTTTCTCTTCTGGATATTACTTCATGGATTAAAGTTCTTTAGACTTAATTTTTGCCTTTATGTTTCCTGTACAAGTCCCTGGACCTTAAATTATGTCCCTGTTTCCACTAGAGGCAAATTGAAAAGTAAATGAAGAAATAGAAGGACAATTTGGTTGCATCAATATCATTGATGCGTGAACCACAGTAGTCTGGCTCCCTGTCTAATTACTGAATTGACTCACACTTGCTAGCAGAAATAAATAATAATAATTTTAAAAAGCTAGGAGCCAAGATGTGATTAAATACAGACTTAGTGAGCAAGTGTTGCTTTTCATGGTAGAGCTGTGTTTCAAGAACTGTCACCTCCTTACCTTTTAGAGTATTTTTGCAAAGTGCCTTCTAGGGATGAAATACAGGGAATCCATTGTTCTAAATAATGTCAGATTGTGGAACAATTTTGCCTATTAATTTCTGTTGGATGTTTTGTATTCTGTGAAACCTAATCCACGTTTTTATATAGAAACAATGTCCATTTAGTGATCTGCTTGGAGAATACTTAGAGCTTGATGCTTAATAAGCATGTGAAACTAAACACTATTCTCAAACATAAGAGAATCAGCGCTGATTTTATAAAAGGCACTTGATATACTGCCTTCAAATTTTTTTCTTGTTTATAAATTGTCTGTTAGATCCAGTGAAGTTAATCATGTGTTATACATAGTCTTAAAGCCTTTACTGCCTAGATAGAGATGGCGATGATGGGGGAAATTTTTTTTTTTTATTGTATGGTTACTACTTTCAGGGTTTTTTATTGTTGATACTCTTTACAATACTGATCAACTTGACTCTGTCTTAAATCATAGTTTTTCCATTATAATAGTTGGTTACCCTTGTTTTGCCCTTTGTCACCTGTAACTTTGAAAGTGAGCCAGAATAAAAGCAATCTTATATTTGGCTTGAAAGCTGTAAGTACCTTATATCTTACATTGCTTCCACGTACTAGCAATATTTTAGGGCAAAAAAGTTAGTTTGTTATTTTGCTTATTATCATGTTACTTTCTTAATACTTGACACATCTTCTTGGAACAGTTCAGGAAATTATTCAGCTGTTTGTTTTCTTTTCACTGAAATTAATTCATCTCTACTTTTAAAGCTAACTCAGTGTTCTCAAACAGGTGAAATTGTGGGCTTTTATGTTTGATTTAAGAAAAATGCAGGAAGACTTTAACTGCTTATGAACACGATAGCTGCTGCGTCTGTAACATGAAGTGAGGTCCAAACATACTGGAGTCCATCCCTCCTCCCCCCGCGGAGCTGGATTATCAGGTGGTGTTGCTGGCAGTGCCAATTGAGCAGTACGTGGTAGTGTTTCCCTCAGTAATTTCAACCCTGAGTATCAGAAACTTCAGTAAAGCCTTTTCAGCTGTAAGAAACTCTGTCGCTTCTGCTAGGTACATAGGTCTCAATTCAGTAGTGGGTTTTGCATCCTGGTGTTTTCCTGTTAAGCATGATTACTGAAATGGTGACACAATGAAGTGGTTGTTTCTCCACAGTTTACTTTTTCTGTATTCAGGAGATGTAATACTCCTCTATTGAAGGCTGCCATCATCCATTCGGATGTAGACGAAAACCTAATGACAATGTCACATGTGCTTTTGCACACCCAGTGACTACAGTTTTATGAGAAGTGCCAGTGCTGTCTTTGTTCTTGGTTGGGTGGGTTGAATGACTAGTGCTGCATCTCAGCAGAAACCTGAAGTAGGGAAGGGACATTACTTATTTTGTTTCATGTTTTGTATAGTGCAAAAGAATATCAAGGCTGGTAGGGCTTTATTAGATGGACTCCATTTCTTTTATCAAAATAAGAAGGAACTTTTCTTTTTTAATGCAGAAAATCTTGATGTACATGTGCCTGTTGACAATGAAATATAGATCTATTGTAAAAAAAAAAAAAAAAAAAAAACCCTCAAATCATTCTAGGAGCAGAGAAAAGTACTCACATATGGCATTGTGCAACATATAATATGTGCTCATGGTAGCCCTGTGATGCCCAGGGAGGCTGTGGAGTCTCCTTCTCTGGAGATATTCAAGACCCACCTGGACAAGGTCCTGTGCAGCCTGCTGTAGGTGACCCTGCTTCGGCAGGAGGGTTGGACTAGATGACCCACAGAGGTCCCTTCCAACCCCTACCATTCTGTGATTCTGTGACAGAAAATGTGATTGGGTAAAGAATACATTTCATACTACAATACAAATGGTAATAAAGCAGCAGTTAATGTATATTACAAAATTTAGACAAGCAGACAGCCATTTAATGTGTCCATTCAGTCAGCTGTTTGAAACAGTGAAGAAATGATCTACTGATTTTGGTATTTCTGTGGTAAGTAGAGAACAAGACGCTGTTGCTGAACTGGCAGCATAGAGAACTTCTTGTGTGAGACGGTTTCTGGTCAGCAGAACTTCCTAGAGTACACTTGTGGTGTGGACGTTACAATAATGTGCAAAGAATAGTACAGGCAGCTAAATGCCTAAATAGCTGATTTACATTTGCAAAGTTGAATGGAGGTAAACTTCAATATCTCTAACCCCAAATGCTGTCGTAAATTCTTTGCTGCCATTTTTTACCTCGTTTCTGAGGTAAAAAACTGTGGATAGACAAAACCTTACAATGAACACCGAAATCGCAGTGTGTTGAATGCTTTTTAGCTGCGTGACTTTAGCCCATGATGAAGGTAAGGTAACCTACACCCCAGTGAAAGTGCTTATTTTAAAATTCTGTGTCAGACATGGATCTTCTGGCTGTCTGACTCCCCATCCCTTCTGCTCGGCATAAAGCCTATTATATGTTAAGCATTGCTTTTGAACTTGTGTACCTTTAGAAGACTAAACTTAGCTGTTCCGTTTGAGCCAGACCAGGACTGACAATTAGTTGTTTTCGCATTATTTCCACGAGACCTTGATGGTCTCT